GATAAATTGTGATTGATGTGGCATGTGTCCTTCTGCTGTCTTCTCAGGGCTGCCCACTCATTACTTAGCCAACTGCCTACCACAATAATACCAGGATACAAAGACACTTCACTTTAGGGATTCTAAAGGATTTAGGAGCTGTGTGCTAGGAGCCAGGTAGAGACCAAATATGTATTTCTTATTATGTCAGAACTTCACAAGTTCCATGTAAAAATAGTCCTTAGGTATAGTCACTCATGATTCCTGGATTCTTCAGCTAAAGTAGCACTTCGCAGTCCAGATGCTAATATGGGTAGTCTTTAAAAGTAGAATTAAGTGACCTAGTAAGGATGGTTAATGTCAGTTTGAGAACACATTTCATTTTGATTCATAGGCTCAATATATGTGGTAAAAAAAAAAAAAAGAATTAGCCACAAACCAATTAAGAACAGGTATGTGGTTTTCTCTAACTGGAAAATATTCAAAGATGCCCTACTTCCCACTTAGATGTAATTGCCATTTTCTTGTTTCAAATTTAAATGTGTGTTTAGCATGAGGTTAGCATACCTTATAACAAGTTCTCTAATGATATTTTCATGTTCTATCTTATTTCAGAAAGAATATAAGGCAACTATGTAAACATCTAAATTTAATGGCATAATTTAACCATAGGCAAGCAATATAAAAGAAATTTTACAAGGGCCAGTCAGTGGTCCGGTGTTTAAGGTGGCTGGATCCCACATGACCGACTGCATAGTTCGAGTTCAGACCTGTGGCTTGAAAAATACACTGGGCCTGTGTACCTGTGTGCCCCAAATCCTAAGAAGAACATGGAGGAGAAGAGATTGTGGTATGGCCATCCCCCTGGAGTGGGGGAGTGCTTTCTCAACTCCTCTCTCTCTCTGTTTCTCTTTAAAAGAACGTGCCCTCATGCAAAAAAAAAAAAAAAGAAAAAGAAAAAAAAAGAAAATTTACTGACTGAAATGAACAATGTAAAGAGTTTCATTTGCTTCTTTTAGAATTCCTAAAAATCACATAAATTACATGCCTTTAAATTCATAACAATGGTTTACTTAATAGGTTCTGTATTATGTGAAGCCATCTGCTCCTTGCTATCTTTCTCCTTCACTCATAGTAACAGCAAAGTTATCATTCCTTTTTCACAGATGATAAGTAAAAGATAAAGATGCTAAATAACTTGCTCCAGATCCCATAACTTGTCAAGAGGCAGAACTGGGATTTGAACCAAGGTGTGCCTCGAAAACCCAAGCCCAGTGCTTTTAGTCACCATGATGTGCCCTTCTTATCCTTTCATGGTGTTCACAGTGATCTCACTGTGGATGAGGAAAGAGGCAACCCTGGAAAATACACTGGAACTGAAAATTCTGAGTTGAATAAGAGTTGTTGCTGTATCTGCATACTGTGTAGTCCCCCCCCCCCCCCCCACCCCCCCCCCAGGCCGCCAACCTTTGATCTGGTGAGGTTGTACTGATCTGGCCATTTACATACACACACACACACACACACACACACACACACACACAACACGATATTGTAAGCGGGGCCAGCTCATGGCATAGTGGTTAAGAAAGCTGGATCCCACATAGCCAACAATGCAGTTCCAATCCTGGAACCAGCAGCTTGGAAATCTTACTAGGCCATGTGTGCTCAAAATTCTGACAGGATGGATAAATGGAGAAGGGATTGTGACATGACCATGCCTAGTGGTGGGGGGTGCTTTCTCCCTCTCCCTCTCTCTGTCTTTCTGTCTCTTTCTGGCAAGCTCACGTGCTCTCTGGCAAATTTTATACACACACACACACACACACACACACACACACACACACATACAGAGTCTGGTAGCATAAGGTTGGCTTCTCTTTTCTGTGTCTCAGCAAGCATGCTTCTTTGATTCCAAAAGATGTAAGTAACTGACAAATTATAATTCTGGCTGGGATGTTTGGGGCTGGAGAAATTCAGGAGTTGCTGAGTAGACACACAGTAGTAATGGTACCTGGAGTGGAGCCCTGGGAGTGAAATGACAGTGATTTTTTTGTTTTAATTTGCTATAGGATGAGTGCACTCGCCAGAGATTGGGTGTTGGGGGTGGGGGATGGGAATACTGCTCCCTAGGGAGATGGCCACACTGCAATCTCTTCTCCTCTATTCTCATGTCAGGATTCTGGGCACACATGCACATGTGCCCGGCATGTTTTTTAAGCCTCTAGGGACTTAAAAAGCTAAGTTGGTCATATGGGATCCAGCTACCTTAACCACCATGCTAGTGCTGGCCCAACAGTGATGTTTAAGTTCCATTTTCCCAACAGATCCTATCAAGGCAGCCCCTGGGACACAGAACGGTTGATGATATTAGATCAAGAAATGAGGTTGGGGAACCAGCAGTTAGTGTAATGGCTATGTCGTTGGACTCCCATGTAGTCGACCGCGGTTCGCATCCCAGACCCGGTGGCTTAAAACTCACACCGGGCGCGTGTGCGTGGGTGCCCAAGATCCTGAGAGGAGAATGGAGGAGAAGGGATTGTGGCGTGACCATCCCCCCTGGGGGGTGATTTCTCGCTTTCTGTCTCTATGTCTCTCTCTGTCTGTCTGGCAAGTGCACATGCCCTATAGTGAAAATCTCTCCAAAAAAAAAAAAAAAGAAAGAAAGAAAGAAATGAGGTTGGAGCTTGTCTAAGCAGCACAAATGCTATAATTGGAATAGTATGAAGAAGATAGACATGACCTCCCACCATCCTTCCAAACTCCTATCTGCTCTCTCCCACCCCTTATAAGGGTGACATGCAAATCTGTGGAGCATTTCCATTCATTAAAGATAAGAATGAAGGGGACTTGGCTTTCCACATTTCTCAAATTTCAAGGTTATTGTCCTTCTGAATTAGTATATCTATATCAACTGAAGTTTCACACTGCAATACAATTAATTTAGGAGTCTATAAATAACATACCAAATAGCTAATGTAATGGCCTAGACCTCTACCATAGCTTTCAGAAGAGGGTGTAATGGCTATGTCGTTGGACTCCCATGTAGTCGACCGCGGTTCGCATCCCAGACCCGGTGGCTTAAAACTCACACCGGGCGCGTGTGCGTGGGTGCCCAAGATCCTGAGAGGAGAATGGAGGAGAAGGGATTGTGGCGTGACCATCCCCCCTGGGGGGTGATTTCTCGCTTTCTGTCTCTATGTCTCTCTCTGTCTGTCTGGCAAGTGCACATGCCCTATAGTGAAAATCTCTCCAAAAAAAAAAAAAAAGAAAGAAAGAAAGAAATGAGGTTGGAGCTTGTCTAAGCAGCACAAATGCTATAATTGGAATAGTATGAAGAAGATAGACATGACCTCCCACCATCCTTCCAAACTCCTATCTGCTCTCTCCCACCCCTTATAAGGGTGACATGCAAATCTGTGGAGCATTTCCATTCATTAAAGATAAGAATGAAGGGGACTTGGCTTTCCACATTTCTCAAATTTCAAGGTTATTGTCCTTCTGAATTAGTATATCTATATCAACTGAAGTTTCACACTGCAATACAATTAATTTAGGAGTCTATAAATAACATACCAAATAGCTAATGTAATGGCCTAGACCTCTACCATAGCTTTCAGAAGAGGGAGAAAAGACCAATTAAAATACTAATCTTTCCAAACATGCTTAATCTTTGCTAATTGGTTGGCTCTTAAGGGTGAAGGAAAGAAAGTTGTCAAAAGTGGCATGCTAAGAAAGGACAGCACGCCTTGTGAGAAGTGCTGATCTGCACAAGTGCGCCTCAATGTGGGTGCAGTAGGGCAGGCAGAGAAACTGGGGAGTGGGGGGAAAGAAGTCACTACGCAGGTATGAGAAAGAGATGTATGACCTGTGACCCAGAAGACAGGGTCCAGTTAGCCAAGGGAAGTGAAAATCTTAAGCATGTAAGGACGAATGCTCACACGTGCACTCAGAGGACTTCAGTTTGCAATGAATGACATTTTAGAAGAGTAGCTTCATGGAAAAAAGTAAAGGCAAAAATCACAACAAAAGGATTAAAGACCAAGTGTAAACTTAGTGGAGCCCAACACAAACACTCCCATTTACAATACAAATGGATCCGATTATAGATACTCATGTCTTTTAGACTCTGCATGGACCCAATATTTATTTCTGCAGATCTTCTCATGAGTTTTAAACCAACTGAGAGAAATCAGTGTCAGTAGGTGAAGTTAAAAATATTGAAATATGTATAATATTTTAATTTTAAATATTTAATTTAAAGGTCAGCCGCGGGGTCTGGGACTTGAATGGCAGTCAAATATGTAGGAGTCCAACAACGTAACTGTTATGCTATCTGTTAGTCCCTGTTTTGCATTAACAAAAATATCGTAACTATTATGCCATCTGTTAGTCCCTGTTTTGCATTAACAAAAATACCTGAGTCTGGGCAATTATAAAGAAGTGGAGGTTTATACTTTAATGATGTATAGTGAATTAATGTAAAAAAAAGAAAAAAAAATAAGTTAAAAAAAGAAAATTCAAAAACAAAAACAAAAACTAAAGAAGTGGAGGTTTAATAACTCACAGCTTTGGAGTCTGTGAAGTCTAAACGCATCATAAAATGGCAAAAGGCAGAACTCCGAGTGGAGCAGAGCAGAGCACAGTCTACGTCCACGTGCCTTTCCGTCTGCCATTCTAGTCTCACCCCTTCTCTCACATGGCCTCTGTAACTTGATCATGGAAGCCCTGATGTGCTGACATTATGAGGCAAAGGCCTCACCCTGAGACACCATGCTGCAATGAAGTTTTCCCTTAATATCTTTATAATATAATCAATAAATCAAGTCTCAACACATGATTTTCTAGAGGACATCCAGTTATCACCCACTAAGACCAAATTCTAAAACGTGAAACTTTGAGAGGAAAAAACCATGATCCAAACAACAACACAGGTTAAAAAAGACAGTATCAAAAATATTTCAGGATAATTCATTCAAACTAAGTATCGATATAACTTGGATTTTTTATTTTTTTTTAAGTTTAGAGACAGAGGAAGAGCAACAATATATCACCTCAAGTTATATTAACATCTCCACGGATTCATTACGAGGTGGCAAGAAGTATTTGGTTTGGGTCCAAGCTACAAATGCACTAGGCATGGAGGAGTCACAACAATTGCAAATCCACCTGGATGATATAGGTAAAGAATAAGAAATTCTCTAATGTCTTTAATAGTACACAGTTAACTTGTGCTAGTCAAGTGAAGTCTGGATCTGAAAGTTTACCTAAAGTTCCTGTGGATCATCATTAAAACAAACCAGAGATTGGACCAGCAGATGGCCTGGTGGTTAAGAGGCTGGATCCCACATGGCCAACTCTGTGATTGGAGTCCTGAACCTGGTGGTGTGGAAAACATGCCAGTTGTCTTGTGTATGCATGCCCAAAATCCCGGGAGGAGAACGGAGGGGAAGGGATCGTAGCACCCCTCCTGGGAGGGAGAGACATCTATCTCTCTCTGGCAAGTACACTGTGGCAAAAATCTAAAAAGCAAACAAGCAAACAAACCCAGAAATTACCCATAATTCTAATTGCCCCAAACAACTCAGAGATGAGTACTGTTACCATTTTGTTGTATCTCCTTCCTGTTTTATTTCTACATGGGTACATATGTTTTTATGAGTAATTATTAGAAACTTACCTTGCAAGCGTTTTTTTAAAAAATTATTTTATTTAACTTTATTTATTTATTTACTTATTTTGATTTGACCAGAGAGGGACAGCACAAGAGAGAGAAAGAGAGAGGGAAAGTGAGAAAGCAAGCCATCAGGTTCGGTACTCAAACCACCATGCCACCTGCCGGTTCCCCAAACATTGTTGTAAGGACCAGGGAGAATAAGATAGACAAGGTTTTTTCCCTAAAATAACTCACAATCAACCAGGGAAGATGGAAAGAAGCACAAATTACATTAAAGCGTGAGGAGTCTTATTGTGTAAGAAGTAACTCATTTGAAGACTTATCTGGTGTTTTTTTTTTGTTTTGTGTTTATTTTGAAAAGTTTTACAAACTCATGGAAAATTGCACAGACTTATGTAGAAATGTTGACTGGCTAGATTTCACAAATGTTAACATATTTTCTGCAGATATTTTTAGACCTCTTTTTTAGCTTACAATATATAACATTCTATTAATTACACTATTACTTTTAATGTTGTCTGAGCATGTAATAGTTTAATCCTGTATTGTTGGAGATAAACAGTTTTTAATTTTTCACCATTATAAATTATACAGCAATGAACAATAGTCTGGCTAAATTTTTACATAGTTTTTTTTTTTCTTTTTTCTTTTTCTCCACAGAGTTTGGTAAACTCACCAGAAAGAGAGAGACAGAGACAGAGACAGAGAGAGAGGGAAAGTGAGAAAGCATGCCCTCCCTCGTGGGGAATGGTCACAATACAATCCCTTTTCTCCCCCCTTTCTGGATTTTGGGCACATGCACATGCACCTGGCATGCTTCTCAAGCTGCCAGGTCCAGCACTTGAACCACAGTCAGCTGTTTGGGATCCAGCTACCTAACAAACATGCCACCAGCTGGCCCCTTGGTAGGTTTCTTAAGATCTCGATAGATTTCAAAAAGTAATTACCTTTGAACCTTTCACAACTATGTGCAAGTCTTAAAACCAGAATTCTGCCATAACACCAAGTGCAAATCACTCCCTGGAGGTCCTAGTACAAATGATTCCTGTTATTATTAAGGACGTTTTCAGTAAACTAACATTTATTGAGCACTTTCTTGTGTGCTAACTGCTTTTACATACATTCATTTTTTTTGGGGGGGAGAGTTTTGTTTTGTTTTGTTTTGCTATAGAGTGCGTATGCTCTCCAGAAAGACAGAGAGAGACAGGGAGACAGACAACAAGAAATCACCTCCCAGGGAGGATGACCACACCACAACCCCTTCTCCTCCATTCTCCTCTCAGGATCTTGGGCATGCACGCACATGTGCCCGGCATGAGTCTAAGCCACCAGGTCCAGGACTCGAACCATGGTCGACTACATGGGAGTCCAGTAACATAGCCTTTATACCAACTGCTGGTCCTGATGAATTATTTTATTTAACTTTGATGACTATTTTGTAGAAGAGATTATTTATATACGAAAAAAATTGAGACTTGGAATTTAAAAAAATTGAGATTATAGAGCTAAGGAGTGTCTAATTTAAAAAATTAAGATTGCAGAGCTAGGGAACATCTGATTTCAGTATTCTTGACTCATATCCTCAGTCTGTATGGGAAGAATAAAAACACACTACAAGGTATTTGACAACTTTCCTACTGATTAACGATCTATAGGATATGAAGCCTTCTCTTTAGGCACACCATGGTTATGGGGGAACCCCAAGGATCTTCTAGACTTCACTGGACTATTATCTAGACTTCTCAACTAACCTCAACTACTGTATCTCAATTAATGGGATGTGTCTAAAAATCTACCCTTATGCTCTGAATATTGGATTTAAAAACACATACTGTCACCTATGGCGATAAACAATAGCTCCATTTATTACATATTCCTGGAATTAGCGCTAGCTTGACTGCGATCTACACATTTTCATAAATTTACATTTTTTGGTAGAAGACAGTAATACATGCTTTCCTTGAAACAGGTTTCTCTTGATGGATGAGAGACGTGTAGACTCATAGCCAGTACCATTTTGGCAGTGTCGTTTTTAGAGATCAAGTTATAATCAGCAGTAGTATGGCCGTTATGTAAACCTTTTTCTTTTTCTTTACCTATGCTAGAGCACATGCATGCACACCTGAGAGTTAGAGTGAGAGAGAGAGATGAGCGGACTCCACAGGGTCTGGTCATGCCATGATCCTCCTCCTCATCCTCCAGCCCATCAGATCCTGGACACTGTGTGTGCTCCCAGTGTACTTCAGGCTGACTGGATAAGGGAGTTAGCCCCAGTTGCCACGTGGAATCTGGCTTCCCCTGAGCAGCACATTAATTCTGCACCCAGAGCTGTCTCATCATTATGACATTATTGTGATCTTTCGAAAAAGTTTTTATTTATTTATTTCTTCCATGAGCAAGAGAGAGAGAGAGAAGGAGAGAAAGAGAAAGACATCACCCCCCACGCTGTCATGACTCCGGGACCCACCGCCAGTCTTTTCAGCCCTTGATCATGGGCAATTATGTGCCCAGAGTACTCAGTGTTTCTGTGCCCTGATCTTAATATCACTGCATCCACTTAGCGAACACCTACTGTGTTCTAGACACTTCACATGTGCATCACATTTAAGTCTAGAAACAACCACACTGCGTACTACTGTCCCCATTTTACGAATGAGGAAAGTGATCAAATAATTTGCTCAGGTTTACTTGGCTAGTAAGGAGAGCCAGGGTTCATCCCCAACTTGTTGACTTGCCATAGATAACTACCACCTTCCCACCCACAGAGGAAGAACCCCATCCGGCCTCCACCTTCCAGTATGACTTCAAGTACTGTGAACTAGGAGTTCGGAGTTGTTATTCCTGCTCTTTTTCCTCTTTCTTTTCCTTTTCCTCCTCCTCCTTTCTGCCCCTATTTCTGCCTTTTCATTATCCCCAAATGGACTCAGAACTCAGGTTGAAAACACAGGTTGAGGGCCAGCTCAGTGGTGCTGCAGTGACACACTGCTCAAGGGAAGCTGGATCCAGACAAAGACTGTAGGTTTGGTTTCCCTGTTGACCTGTACAGGCCAGGAGCATGCTCTGAATCCTGGCTGGTAGGACAGTGGCAGGTGGGGGTGGCATGGCTTGAGATCCTGTCAAGGCTGCTTGTCTCTTTGTGTCTCCACTCTCATAAAAGAAATAAACTTAAAAAAATAAATAAATAAAAGGAAAAGAAAAATACAGCTACACTGTGTAGGAGACTCCAGGCAACAAAACCACCAGTTTATTAACAGACAAGCTCTTTTCATTGGCGACACTGAATGAGACTTTGCAAGTTAGATAAATTTACTGTTCTTTGAAACTGAGAACAGAAGGCTCTTCTGGGAGCAATTTGCACATAATAGCTTCAGGGTTGGGCTTTAATTACATTGTGCTGAAGGCAGAGTGGAGTGGCGTTAGAAACACCAAGCCAAATGACATGTGAGAGGTATCCTTTTTAATTTCTCTTGTAGAGAAATGACATTTCAATACAGAAAGTACAGTGCCTTCTGCCTGCTATTTTGAACATTAATTCTCCCCGTTGCATAAACATGGGTAAATTATGTTGTTGCAAAGATGCCAAAAAAGTATAATATGTTTCTTTATTTTAATACAAATGAAATCCAAAAATATGGCATCTGTGATGAATTTTAGTGTTTTCTTTTTTCGTTGCCAGAGGGTATGTGCACCTGTGTGTGTGTGTGTGTGTGTGTGTGTGTGTCTATGTAAAAGAGAGAGAATAAATGTGAGAGAGAAAGCACTCCTTATGGGGCGTGATCACATCACGTTCTTTTCTCCTCCATTTCTCCATTGGTTGAGATTTGGAGCATTCTAGCACACACACCTAGCGTGTCTTTTTAAACTGCAATTGGCCATACAGGATCCAGCTCCCTAAGCATGGGGCTTAACCACTGTGCTATGGGACAAGGCTGGTAGTTTTTTTTAAAGGTAAGATCTGGTGGGCATATTTAAAACCTTAGCAATGAAAGTAAATATATTAACATATTCAAGTCTAAAGGCTTAGATCTCTATTGACTTGCTCTGCATGGAGAGTCTTATTGTGCTATCTGCACTTTCTGTAGGATCAGACAGAATTTTGCTTTCTGTTCAGAATATTTCGTTTGCACAATAGGCCTCAGAATATTTATGCTGCTGTACCAGTGGCTCAGCCAAACTTAGAGATGGGAGACAGGAGGAGGGTACTTCAGTGGTTCTCAGTGGTCTCAGAACTCTGAGGATCCGCTTCGTTGACTCTTTTTTAAAAAGAATTATTTATTTAATTTTATTTATTAGTATATATATATATATATTATATATATATATGCTAAATATATATATAATATATATATATATACTACTAGGTCTAGTGTCCCTACCACCATGCCACCTGCTGGCCCTACTTTCTGGACTCTTAAAATCTATGAATATTGGGAACCAGCAGTGAGCGTAATGGCTATGCAGCTGGCCTTCCACGTAGTCGACCGCAGTTCGCGTCCCGGACCCGGTGGCTTAAAACTCATGCCGGGCGCATGTACATGCGTGTCCAGGATCCAGAGAGGAGAATGGAGGAGAAGGGATTGTGGCGTGACCATCCCCTCAGGGGGTGATTTCTCGCTTTCTGTCTCTCTGTCTGGCGAGCGCACGCGCCCTATAGCGAAAAAACCTCTCAAAAAAAAAATCTATGAATATTGATTCTTATTACAGGAAGTTTACACTCACAAAAGGAAACCAGCTGGGAATTCAGATGATAAAAGTCACTTACAGTAAGGTCTTCAGTTAAACTAACTCTGCTACTTCTACTTCTAGCCTATGCTAGGTTAAGAGCAAAGATTTTAGTATAGAACTGCGCTTTTGGAGGGATAATCTTTATTTTCATATTTCTCTGTGCACACAATTTTAGATAGCAATAATCAATGGTATAATAGAACAAATTTTCCCAAGGAATACTTTATAAATTAAAGTAACTGAATGCCAAATGGTTTGTGGGCTCTCCAGGGAGAGAGAGAGCACTCCCAACAGAGGGTGGCCATGCCACCATCCTTTCTTCCTCCATTTCTTCATTCTGTCATGCTTTTGGACAAGCATGCACATGGGCTTTGAACAGTGGTCAGTCATGTGGGATCTGGTTCTCTACACACAGTAGTCAACCACTGCACCACAGGGCTGGCCCCCAAAGAGTGCTTTATAGACTTCGAATAAATGAAAAGAAAATAATTCATGGAGAATATTAAGCTTTGACAATGGCTTCTATAAACACACTCTGGCTCCTGAGTTTTTTGTTATATAATACATTGAGTCAAGTCATAGGTTCTCATATTCCCATCATGCAGATGGGAAAAATGGAGAGAACCAATGACTCAATTCTGTCCAGACAGAGTAAATCTACAAGTATATACACAGTTAGATAGACAGTAATGTGTGGCTTACCAATGGGGCCATACTTTGAGGAATGTGTTCTTAGGCAATTTTGTTGTGTGAACGTCAGAGAGTATATTTACACAAACCTAAATGGTATCACCTATTACACACCTAGACTAAACGGTATAGCCTACTGCTCCACCACTGTATGTGAGGTCCACAGTTGATCAAGACGTTATTACGTAGGACACAGTGTATGCAGATTCTAGTTCACCATTTCTCTCAGGACAACAAAATAACTAGTAAGATAACTGATTAGAATTGCAGTCCCTTTTTGAAGATTATTGTCATAGAACATGGTAACAATTTATAAAGTCTTAGAGTCTCTGAGACCTGCTTTGTTCAAATCATACTTTTAAGGATAGATTTATTTAGGGGAGAACAAAAGAAGTCAGCAATAGATACAAATACGCATGCAAATTTCTCTATTACACAAGGGAGGAAGACTATGATTGTGAAAGGTCTCAGTTTAACATTTTATCAAATCAGATTCTCTGGACCAAATTTGGATGCAAAAAACCATCTCTCTCTGAATATCGTAGGTGCAGGAAAAAGATGGCATCTCCTTTAACTCTCTTTATACTCTCTTGTTAATAAGACCAGTTCTGAAATTTTGTTAGGATTATAAAAGGATGAAAAGTGGAGGAAGACAAGACTATTAGAGTTCAGTGTAAAAGAAATAGAGAATGGACTGCATAGAGTTTTCAATAACAGTAAACAAGAAAAGTTTATTAATTGTTAATTAGATCATGAGGTTCTTGCCTTTTTTTTTCTGTACTTGAGTTTGAACGTGCGTATATATTGATGAAATATGCCAATTTCTCCTTAGGCAAGTTTGAAACTGCTTAGGGTGTTTTGTTTTGTTTTGTTTTGCAGTGATACCTTCTGCATCTGTCATAACCAAGGCTGAGAATATAAACACTACCGTGCCCAGAACCATAGTTCACTGGACTAGCGAAACAACAATTGAAAAGGTTTCCTGTGAAATGAGATACAAGGCAACCACAAACCAAACCTGGAATGTAAGCTAAACTTCCTTATTCCTTAGCACATGAGCAAATGTTTAAAATAAAAGCCAGCTCTCAGAGGCCACAGTGGACTTACAATGATCCGTTTTACGTGACTTTACCAGATTGTTTTCATGATATTCCAACCACAATGGTTTTTTTCTTTGACATTTCATCCTTATATATCTCTATATATGCACATAATATGGTTTTACAAAGTATGTAGAATGTGACAGTCAAGTCAACAATATTACCATACACAATATTTTCAACAGAGAACGTTACATTCTTTTGTCTGTTAAGTGTTTCTTCCCTTTGCCTCCCCCATCCGTCCTCTTGCATGCATTCCCCTTCTTTCTGGTATTTACCCTCATTACCCTCCCTACTCTCATGTCTTCACTTCTTTTCTTTCTGCCATAAAGTGCAGACATATGGTATATATCAAGTGGAGATGAATAGTGTATATCTTTTAGAGTCTGGCTTGATTTCGCTTAGAATTAAATCTACATTCAGCCACTTCGAGTCAAATGATAGGGTCTCATTGTTCCTTCTGGCTGAGTAGAATTTCATAGTGTATATGCACCACAGTTTTTCAATCCAGTCATCAGTTCCTGAGTACTTAGGTAGGTTCTATGTCTTAGCGATTGTCAACGATGCTGTAATAAACATGGATATGCATTTGTCTTTCCAACTGAGTGTTTTCCTATCCTTTGGGTAAATACCAAGGAGAGGGTCATATGGTTGTTCTATTTGTGGAAAAACTCATTTTAATAATGATTACCATATACTTCTAAGTAGGGAGCTGTTTCCTGAAAGGATCTTCTTAACTTTTGTTAATTGCTAAGTAAACAAATCTCTAACTAAGAGGAATCTATTAAGCTTTTTCTAATTCAGTGTTTCTCCTAAGAGTGAAATTTACATTGGTGATTATGGATATAAAATTTAAGTACTCTATTCTAAAATTTCAAAGGCATCCAGGGAAATAAAAAAATGTTCAAAAACGAAAACTTACATTGATATCTTTTTTTTTTTTTTGAGATTTTTGAAACAAGAAGTAGTAAACCTCACAAGTCATATGGAAATAAATATGGTAGAACATGTTCAGGTAAAACAGTACAAATGGGAGATTGGAGGAAGAACAAGACAGGATACAGTAGAAAAATTAAAAGAAGTCCGCTGTTTATATAGGCAGAAGCAACAACTCCAGAAAACTTAGAGCAGTTAAGAGAGAGTAATTTGGAGCCTAGGAGATGGCATAGCAGTTACATCACTAGATTCTCACATGGTTGACCATGGTTCAAGTCCTGGACCTGGTAGCTTGAAACTCATGCTAGGTATGTGTGTGTGCATGCCCAACATCCTGGGAGGAGAATGGAAGATAAGGGATTGCAGTGTGGCCATACCCCTGAGGAATGATTTCTCACTTTCCTTCTCACTGTCTCTGTCTCTCTCTCTGGTGAGCACACACACCCTATGACAAAAATTTCTAAAAAAATTATTAAAAAAAATAAAAGAGAGAGAATAATTATGTTTCAACAAGAAATCAGATGGAAATCAGAATTAAAGATGGAGAATCCAAACCCATCAAAATAAGAGCTTCTCAAGAAGATTCTAATAAAACAGAACTGGAAAAATATAAGCAACTCTACCTAGAATATCAGATAAACTTAACAAATGCAATAGGAGGTGGAAAGAAAATATATAAAGACAAGTTATTACTAAATTTGCATCTGTATCCTGTAGAGCTTCTCAAAGATTTGCTGATGAGTCAAACCAAATTCAAGATTGATTTTTGGGGGACCAGCAATTAGCATAATGACTATGTCACTGAACTCCCATGTAGTCGACCACGGTTTGAGTCCTGGACCTGGTGGCTTGAACTCACACTGGGCGCATGTGCATATGTGCCCAGGGTCCTGAGAGGAGAATGGAGGAGAAGGGATTGCAGTGTGGCCATCCCCCCTGGGGGGGGGTGATTTCTCGCTTTCTGTCTCTCCGTCTCTCTCTGTCTTTCTGGTGAGTGCACGTGCCCTATAGCAAAAACCTCCCCCCCAAAAAAGATTGATTTTGGGGAGCATCACAAGAATTGGTACAGATCTTGAGAAAAAAAGAATATGACCTGAACGATAAAGTTTTATTGACTGAACTGTTTAATAACCTTTTAATTGTTATCCATTAAATATATGACATGTTAAAATATTTATTAAAGACATTACATCATTTTTAGAAAAAGACAGAAATGAGAAGCAGAGGCTGGAGAAGAAGGAAGTTTATTTCTGTAACAAGTTACATAGGGACAATTGGCAAGTACTATCCACTGAATCTTGAAAAGCTCAAAAAGTTTTTAGTATTTATAGATAAAGATATGAGCTACAAATCATTCCTCACTACAATCAGAGTCAATTGCTTTTCCCTGAGTAAATCACCTGATTCCTACGAATATCCATTCCTGGCTTCTCATCTGACCATTCCTCAAACAGAACTCCCTATGACTCAGCACTTGTCCGATTGTTTCTTCATTTCAAAATGGCTGCAGTCCTGCTACCTGGTTTCTCTGTCATCACTCTCCGGGGTTCAGTTGTTCCTGCAGGCTGGAAAATGGAGCTCTCTCAGCATCTCTGAGGCTTACATTTCTAGGGGCTTGTTGGTAAGTTTTGTAGGGGAGTTTTAAGTTTCCTCTTTTCTCTCCAAAGGTCTGATAATCTTTAGTCTAGGAAATAAAACTGACAACTGATAAACAAGAAAAAGGGATACACATTTATTACATGTATGTATATGTGTGAGCCACACAAAACATGAGACTCAAAGAAGAGCCAAATGACTAAAGGTCTTATACCGTATAGAAAAGAAAAAACAAGCTCAGGGTTAAGCTAAGAGAGGGTTGGGGGCAGGGAGAAAAAAACAAAGATTGTCCTGTTTTTCTGGACCAGGCATCAGACTTTCAATCCCCTTCCTTTTTTTTTTTTTTTTTTTT